TGGGTAAAACAACTGTGAATGTCAAATAAAGAAGTATGAATTGTAGTTGGGAGGCAAGATGGAGAGAGTCACTGTAGGGATCTGAGCAGCGGAGTCACATCATAGAACCTGGAAGCCAGAGGGAGCTATCTGTAGATTGGCAGCAATTTGAAACAAAGGGGGAGAGGTTCTAGGGGGCATAGCTATCATCATTTCCACTGTGTGTGTTTCTATTTACTAGATAAATTAAGCTGTATAACTAGAACAGAGAGGCTACTTGCAAGGTGAGGGAAAATGACAGGGTAGATTTGAAGAAGAACAACAAAGAAACTAACTAGATAACTGGATTTTTCACTTGTAGACTGGATTCTGTTTCTATATGTGTGTACTGTGTCTTTTATATTATGTACTTGTGCCTTATTTTTCCTGTCTGCTACATAAATTTAGTCTCTAGGAGTGAAAGAGAACTACAGGAGCTATCTGGAGATCAGCAGCAAGAAGAAACATGGAGGATAGAGATATCATGGTACAGTAGAAAGCACTGACTCTTAAATTAAGGGAACCTGGATTTAAATCCCATCTAACACTATCTATGTGACCTTGGGCAACTGAACCTCCTTTGGCATAAGTTTTCTCACCTGAAAAATGAGATGGTTGGGTTAAATGGGTCTCTGAGGTTCCTTCTCTATATAGCTAGGATCTGTAGTAGCCAAAGTACTTTGCACATAGTATGCATTTAATTTTGTTGAACTGAAGAACTGCTTCTAGGAACAAAGAAAAGGCATAGCTAGCTATCCTCAGTGAGTTTATATTACCAGGTCCTGATTAACTATATCCAAGGATAATGAAAGAATAGGAAGATGAGATTACTACATTGCTATCGGTGATCTCTGAAAAATATGGGGAAATGGGAGAGGTGCTGAAGCATCAGAGAAGAACAAATACCCCAATTTGTTTTGCCTGGCTATTTGTATTTGTTATCAGGGCTTTGTTTTTCTTTTCTGTCTCTTCCTCCATCCCCTACACCCACCTTTTCCAATAGTTGGGGTGAAGCAGAAGGGAGACAAAATCAATTTTTGTTTATTAAACTAAAATGTTAATTTTTGAAAATCCCCATTTTTCAAGAAAGTAAAGAAAGTGGTCTGCAGACTGTAGTCTGGTAAGCTTGACTGATTCTTGTCAAAATTCTCAAATACATTATTTGAGAAATGGTTTGTGAGCATTTGAAAGGAAAGCAGTGAGCATTAAGCTGCCACAGCTTTACCTATTGGTCACGCTAAGCTAATTTCCTTTTCTTAACAGTAACCAGATTAGTAGACTGTGGAATGCCACAGAAGCAGTATACTTAGGCCACCTATGGGAATACTCTTCAAAGAAACAGGAGGCAAATGAGCATGATTATCTACACAAAAAGATCCTCCCATATAATTAATTAAAAAAGTATTTATTAAGTACTATGTCCCAGGAACTGTTCAAAGTGCTAAGGATACGAAGAAAAATAGCACCTGGCCTCAAGGAGCTTATCTTACACTTAAGTGAAATCCTTCAGACGAATAAGGGACACAGATATCCAAGAGCAGCATTCATATTTACACTGCTCTACTCTCTGGCTTTTCAGATGGCCTATCACTTAGTTTAGAATCTAACTCAAGTTCTGATAGGTTCCCCCCCCCCCACTCAAGCTGTAATACAAAGACCACACAACAATAGTGTATTTGTCCAGCATCACAGGATGTTCCACAAAAGTAGTATTTCTAGTTAACTAAAGCTACCTCCTTTAAGTGCCAAAGTGTTTTCATTTTAATCATTTTTGTTTGAGATTATGTAAAATTCATCATATCTTCCTTTGTCCTCATAAGCAAGGGGCAATGGACGTTAATTCAATTATTTCTTGATGACTCAAGAATCATTAAGATTAACATCGATTATTTGTTCTGTGACATAAAAGTAATGAGGCATTCAGAGGTTAGAGCTATCTGTCATTACCTTAAAATGGCTGCAGACCTTGCATTTAATTTGTTTCTTATTTTACAGTCAGCTCTCACTTCTCCAAGCTGTCGGTATGTTTAACCTGTAGCAGTGCCCTTTTGTTGTTTAGTCATTTCAGTTATGTCCTACTCTCTATGACCCTATTTGGAGTTTTCTTGGCAAAACTACTGGAGTGGTTTGCCATTTCCTGTCCAGCTAATTTTACAGATGATGAAACTGAGGCAAACAGGGTTAAGTGACTTGCCCAAGGTCACACAGGTATTAAATGTCTAAGGTTGGATTTAAACACAGGTCTTCCTGGTGCTCTATTCACTGTGCCACCTAGCTGCCTGTAACAATTCCAAAACCCTTCCTAATCAGTGCTTCTCATCAACTTTAAGCTAGGAAAACAGATACTTAAATTTGCTAGCCTGTCCAAAAAACGATCAAATAGACTCAAAGTAAGAGCCTCTCAAGAGCAAAGTATAGATTTTTTTTTACATGGCTGCTTAAAAACTTACTTTTTGGTGGGGCCTATTTCTTGGTTGTTAGTGACTTCTAAATAGGTGAGATTATAGGGGCAGCTAGGTGGTATACAGCACCAGCCCTGGATTCAGGAGGACCCGAGTTCAAATCTTGCCTCAGATACATAACACTTATTAGCTGTGTGACCCTGGGCAAGTCACTTAGCCCCACTACCTAGCCTTAGATAGATAGATAGACAGATGAGATTATTAAATAAGTAGCTCTATCTTGATTAGTTTACACTGCAAAAGCTCAAAATACCCCAAAGTAGAAAAATGAAGATTGGGAATTCTCCAAATGTGAACTGACCTTATTTCTGTCAAAGGCTGAAGTTCTATGTCTATATAGCTACAGTCTCAAAATAGCCAACTATTTTCCCAATCTTTTACCAATTTTCCTCAATTCTTTTCTTCATTGGATTTTCTGAAACTTTGCTTTTCTTCCCCAACCTCCTTGTTTCTTCTGCATAGTCATGTCTTAGTTGTTGCCACTCACTTTGGTTAACACTATTTTCTTGCATGCTACTCTAAATGTACAAAGAAAGCTTCACTACCCATCCCATTCTCTCCCTCTCTTCACATCGACCTTTCTAGCCATCCCGATAAAGTAATTTTTCTTCCTCCACCAAACCAGTCCTGGATTATTGTTGCTTTACTGAGGACAGTACTCAGCCCATCTCCTTGTTTGGAGGCCTGTCCAATTCAATAACAGGCATGTAAGTCAGGAAACTCTTAGCATATCACTGGTGTTTCCCTACTAAGTGAAGTTTTGTAAACGAAATGATTCTCCACGTGTTAGGATATAAATGGCCTTTCATTTCTATAACCAGAAGTAACTGGAAGGCAGGGGAAAGAACACAGGGGACAGAATTTTCTGAAGTCAGAAAATTTGGGATTATGTACTGGTTCTGCCACTTACTGCTTAACCCCAAACTAAAGTCACTGAGCCTCTCTGAATCTTAGTTTCTTCACCCATAAAACTGGGATAACAATTACACTTCAAAGGAACAAATATTTATTCAGTATTCACTGTGGATTTAAAGGCACTGGGCTAGGGATACAAAGGTGTACAAAGGACCTGTTATCAAGGACCTTATAATCTATTGGAGGCATATGACATGTATGCATATAAATAAAAATAAGGTAATATAAAAACAAAGAAAACAAACAACTGAGGCAAGTGATAGGATCAGGAAAGATTTTTTATGAGAGTCGGCATTTGAGCCGAGCCTTCAAGATTTTAAATGAAATGAGGAGAGAATGACTTCCAAGCATGAAAAAGACAGCTTATATAAGCACAGAGAGACCACAGATTGGATGCTGAGTTTTGAGAATAGCTAACAGACTAGTCTGGCTGAAGCACAGAGTATAGGATGGAGAATGTGAAATGTGAAATAAGTCTAGAAAGTTTGGAAACAAATTATAGAGGGCTTTGAATGCCAGGCTGAGTCTCTAGTTCTTACCCTAGAGGCAAGGGGGAGTCACTGAAGTTTCTTGAATAGAAAAGTAACATGGATAGATTAAACTTTAGGAAGACTACTTTGGCACCTCTGCAGAAGATGCATTGGAAAGATGAGAGACTAGAAGTAGGGCGACCAATGAGAAGGCTAACAAAAGCATGAACTAAGGTAGTGGTTGTGTGAGGGGAGAGAAAGAGAGAGATTCGAGAACTCCTGTGGAGGCAGAAATGACAAAACAAGGCAAATGGTGAAGGAAAGGGGGAGGGAAGAATCAAGGATCACTTGGAGATTACACACCTGAGTGACCTTTAGGATAGTGGTGCCTCAACACAAATACGTCTGGAGGAGGAAAGGTTTAGATGGACACAAAAACAAATTTTCTTTTGGACATGCTGAGTATGAAATACTGATGTAACATTTTTGGTGGCATGTCTAGCAGTCTGTCATATGGAACTGGGTGTTCAGGACTATAAAAGTTGAGTATTTAGTTATAGGAGCCATCTACAAAGACATAATTAAATCCATGTCTCAGGAGGGCCCTGAAGACCAAAGAAGAATGCATATAAATTGCTTTGTAACTCATAAAGCATTATACATCAACTATAATTTTGTTAGGTAAAGTGTTTTAACAAACTAAACAATGTTACATATGTAAAATTTTATCTTAAGCTCGAGTCATATATTTATTAAGTGCCCAGTATGTGGAGAACACTGTGCTACGCTCCACAAGAAATACAAAAAGGAGTAAGACGACTACCCTCAGAGCATAATAACAATACTAGTAGGGGAAATAAGATATACATGCAAATAATGACTATACAAAACCCAACAATGTACAAAGAAAGTACATACTGTGCCTTTTGAGGTCTGAGCTTCAGCCCTTTTGGAAAGATTTACATCACACCTCACTGTTACCAACCAATAATTCCTACCCTTTTGGAAACTCGTAACTCAAAGACCACCCATTTTCTGTCTTCTACAGAAAGTTCTAAGTAGTAAGATGTTTTCACAATTTTTATTATTAAACTCTACAAAATCTAACTAGAAGCTTAAGAAGGGCAAAACTTACCTTTTCAGGTCTTTTGCTAACAGAAGCAATTTCACTGATTGGGAGAGCTGATGTGTTACTAGCAAAGATACAATGAGCTGGAACCACCTGACAAAACAAAACAAAAGGCATTAAGAATACACATCAATGTGCCCCTAAAGAGTCCAAAGCAGGGACAGGTAGGTGGTGCAGTGGATAGAGCACCGGCTCTGAAGTCAGGAGGACCTGAGTTCAAATCCAGTCTCAGACCAAACACTTGACACTTACTAGCTATGTGACCCTGGGCAAGTCACTTAACCCCAACTGCCTAAAAAAAAAAAAAAAGAGTCCAAAGCAAAGCTAATCAATAAAGTTCAATCCAGTTGTTCATTCCATATTGTCCTGATATGAGTTATCATTTATATTGTAAATTATAATAATTATCATTTCACTAGCTCTATAATATCCTTTTAAATATTAAACATGGTTTGTGGGCATTCAGAAAAAAAAATCAGTAGTGATCACTGGAATCAACCCGGATTCACTGAAAATCAATGACACCAAACTAATCTCATCCTTTTTTGATAACAACCAGAATGGCAGATCAGGACAACAGTGCCTTAGACAGATACTATGCTCAATCAATTTGTCTGTTGATTATAATGAAAGTTATATCTTGTTTTTTGAACACAGCATCTGACAAAAATTCCCAGAATATCCCTGGGGTCAGATGGCTCAATATGGGACAGATGACCACACTGTAAGATGGAATCACAGCTAGATGTACAACCAACAATTACTGATTCAACAGTTTAAGTTTATTTTCTTGGTAACTACTTCTAAAAATCAAATCTAACTGCATATGGTGGTCTCCTGGACTCAGACAAGGGGAAAATTTGTAGTCAGTCTAGGGGGAAAGGGAAAGTACATACAATTAAAGAAAGAAAGAGTATGTTCTCTTAAATACTGGATAGAAGAATAGTACACACTCTAAAGGCCAATAATTAAGAGTGTGATGGTGAGGGGGAAACCATTCTCCCCAAACTGGAGAATAGTGGCAATCAGTAAACTTCAGCTAGGGGACTTTATATCACAAAGCAGAAGGGTATACAGGAATCACCCAATCACATAAACAGCAGAATCAACAATGTCAACAGTTCTGTCGAGCCAGACAGTCTTCTCTAGAAGAATTTCAGTGTTTTGCAACTGCCCAACCCTCTCATGTTCAACACTTTTATCAATGACTTGGATGAAAATGTAATAAGCCATTTTATCAGTTTTGAAAATAATAAATTTCTAGGAGGGACGGATAGTACTCTAGGTGACCAGATCAAGCTTCAAGAAAAAATCCAAAGATCCAAAATGCTTTAGAGGCTAAAATAATAGGCTGAAAATGAGATAATGAAATTCAACAGGTAGAAATGTAATTGCTATATTTAAGATAAAAGAAAAATCAACTTCATAAGAGTAGGATAGCCAAGAGTTAGGCATGGTAGTAACACTGAGACAAATATTTGAGTAAGATGAAAATTACTTATCTAATTCTGTTTGATCTATAACTAGCTGACTAATTGGCTGAATCAGATGGAAGCAGATCTCTGCAAGGCCAAGTCGAAAGATTATGTCTGGTGCCCCATGTGACTGAGATGAGGAACAAAGAGAGAATGATTGGAAACTGAATTTCTAAATAAGACCTTGTATACAACAGCAGAAGATAGGAATCAGAAAATGAGAGCAATTATCATTAAAGAGCTCCAGAGCTTTCAGGAGCAGGCCTAGAACAGCACTCAAGTACATTACTGCATAGCTAGCCAAAAGCACGAGCAGCAAGGGCAACAGACCTGAGAATTTCTGCTTTCTGGCGAGGACAGGGACAGGGATCTATTGCAGTAATCTGCAGAGACTATGCCAGGTTTGTGTTTCTGCTGGGGTCAATTACATATGCACAAAGTACCAACTGGTCTCTACACTAAAAGGGGTGAAAGGGCTGGAAGAATGTCCATCCAAGTCTCCAAGGATCATAAAATCAGACAGATAGAGCTGAAAGGGACTTTGGACATCATCTAGTGCAACCTCTTTATTTTATAGATAGGCCCAGAGAGATTAAGCAACCTGCCTAAGGTCACATAGTAAGCGGCAGAGGTGGGACTCAAACTCGAGTCTTTTCCCAATGAATTCAGTGTTCTTTTCACTGCACCACGCAGAATGACCTGTCCTTGAAAAAAAAAAAAAGAGAGAGAGAGGCAGAAATGTCTCAGGAAAAAACAAAGATGAAGAAAAATCCAAAGAGGCAGAGAGGAACTGAACTGCTGGATCTGTATAAAACTCTTATGGTTCTTTTTATAGAGCAAGGGCACTTTACTGCTGTGTGGTGAAGCCTATGGAACCCCTTCTCAGAATAAATGCATAAAATGAACCTATTTATTTTAAATGCATAAAAACAAAATACATAGGACTATGAAGGGAACAAATTATATTCTGAATACTCAGCTGCCACCAGGAGTAAAGGCATACAGTACTGGTCAGAGAAGGAAGACAGGAGTTGGGGGAGGGATGCCTAGTAAGAAACTGTTATGGTCATTAAATGAAGGCAGCTTCTCAGACAGAAGGGAGAAGTGCCATCACTATCCTCAACAGTAACCTGTACTTCTGGACGTGCAGGGGCATTTCAAGAAGGGCTCAGTTCTTTTACAGCAACATAAAACATCTAGATAAATCGTAGATGTAGAGGTATCGATGTGGATGAGAAGTTGCTCTTTTGGAGCTACATAGTATTATATTCCAGAAATATGCTGGGATATAATACTTAGTAGCTTCTGGTCCTTCTCCTGTACAAAGTAGGCACTCTCTCTCTCACTTTGCACAAAGTTTCACAGCTTTGTTGTTTCCTCAGATTCCTAGTGTACAGGAAAGTGAGAAGCTTGCTATTAGTTTTTTAGTTCTACCCATCTTTATTCCCATTCTTTTTTATGTGAAGAGATTTCTTTATACTGCCCTGCCCCCACCAGATTCTATTATCTCCCCAAGCCTCGTATCATTGTTTCTTTTAAAAATAGAAACATGTGCCACCAACTAAACCTTTTTTCAGGCCCCAGATATCCAGACTGCAACTTAGTATTACAGTCAGTAAACAAGCACTTATTAAGAGTCTATTATTGGGGCAGCTAGGTGGGACAGTGGGTAGAGCACTGGCTCTGGAGTCAGGAGGACCTGAGTTCAAATCAGGCCTCAGACACTTTATCACTTGATACTAGCTGTGTGACCCTGGGCAAGTCACTTAACCCCAACTGCCTCACAAAGAGAAAAAAAAAAAGAATCTATTATGGTCCAGGCACTAGGCTAAACAATGGGGATACAAAGAAAAGCAAAGAAGCTCACAGTCTAATGGTGGAAACGACATGAAAACAACTATGTACGAAGCTACATACAGAATAAATTGGAGATAAACAACAGGGGGGAAACCTCTAGCCAGCATTAAGAGGATCAAGAAAGGAAGACAGAATTTTAGTTGAGGCTGGAAGGAAGCCAGGGAAGGTAGGAGGCAGAGATGAGGTGGAAGAATAGTCCAGGAATGGGAACAGCCAGTGAAAAGACCTGGTGTCAGGAAATGAAATATCTTGTACGAGGAATAGCAAGGTGGCCAGTGTTGCCACCTTGCTGAGTATGTGGTAGGAAGTAAGAAAAAGACTAGTAGATGGGTGTTTTAAATTCCAGCAGGAAAAGGGGAAGAGCTATTCAAATTACAAAAACACATCATCTTGCATATACGGACTCCAGGGATCATCTAGTCCAACCACTATCAGATGTATAAATCCCCTCTACAACAGCTCAAACAAGCGGTTGTCCACAATCTACCTGAAGAATTCCAGCTGCTTCCCGTAACAACAGAGGCCATTTTTGTACAGTCAGAGCAGTTAGGAAGTGTTTCCTTCTATGGAATCAAAATCTACCTCTCTGCAACCTCTGCCCCTTGGTCCTAGTTCATTCTACATTTCATTATGAGCAATTCTTCCATAAATTCTGCCTTGTGTTAAACTCCAGTCCACAGAAGACATCGGCTCAAATGACTTCAGCACTACCAGAATTAAAAAGGCATTTCTCCATTTCAGGCCTGCACACTTTCTCAAAGTTTCTGACACCACGTTTTCCCCGGATTCCGTTTCCAGAGCACTGTGCTTTCTGGTTATCTTCTTTAGATGTTACTTGGAAGTTGTTGGGAATGGGAGGGAGGAAGAAGAGGAAGAGAGAGATAGACAGACATGGGGGGAAGGGGAAGAGGGAGAGAAAGATGGGGGTGTGTGTATATGTATATGGGTGTATATATACATATACATACACACACACACATATATATACACATATACACACATACACAAAGAGAGACAGACAGACAGACAAACAGAGAATATATGAGAATGCCAGTACAGAAGAGATCAGAGGAATCCCCAATACTCTATCCTTGGTCCTCTTCTCTAAGGATTCTGGTAACATCCACTTTCTTAGTTTCAACTGTCATTTACAGACAATACAAAAACCTTCCTAACTTTCCTTGAACTTTATTTCTTAGTCTAATAAAAAAACTATCTAGACCTGAATGTCTTAACAGCAACACAAACTAAACATAACCAAAACAGTTGTTCATCTTTAGACCCACAACTCCTTTTCATCAAAGCCATGTCTTCCAAAACAAAATAGTGAGAATAACTTCTGATTAATTGCTATTATTAATGGAAAGTAATTTTTTTTTTTAAATTTTTATTTATTTATTTATTTTTGGTTTAGGCAGTAGGGTTAAGTGACTTGCCCAGGGTCACACAGCTAGTTAGTGTTATGTGTCTGAGGTCGTATTTGAACTCAGGTCCTCCCGAATCCAGCGCCGGTACTCTATGCACTGCGCCACCTAGCTGCCCCTAATGGAAAGTAATTTCTGTCCAATATATATCTATATCTATATACCTACATACCTATCTATGTCTAGATAGCTTATTGCCAAACTTTGTCACTTCTTTGTTCACACCATTTCCTGAATCCACTCTCCCAATTCTACAGACTTCTAGGTTCTTACCTGGACTAAAGGATTATCTTAATCTATCTTCAACAATGATAACAAAGCTACTCTCAACCAAGAACTGCTTTCACCATGTTGCTATCTTCTTTAGTGATTTATAGTGACTGTCTATTACATTACGAAGCAAGAATGGTCCAACATTTCCATGGAATTAGTAGATTGATGTTGATTGAGAAATCTGCTTAAATTGCTCCCATCTACTTTTTATGCTGTAAAGCATTGAGGAAGCACAGCTGATTTTTACAATTACTTGAGAATCTCAAAATCTGTGGCTGTGTTTGCCCTTTAAGTGGCTGAATTTTCCCATGAATGAGACAACGGGTAGGATTTTATGATGAAATATGCATAATGGATCAACCGTTTTTATTTCTTCTTCAAGACTTAGAACTACACATTGTATATACATAACAGAAGCTGTTCTACTTGAAACCTATACTTAGAATGCTTGTTCCTAAATAATTCTGTTAAAACGCTGGAATTTTCCCAGATCCCTTTCTACTAAATAAGAGTTAGGACGTTTGCTTCCTACAATACACTATATACCAGGTACCCTGAAAAGAAAGCTGATAACTTACCGATTCAACCTCCTTTAGAACTGCATGCTTAATGCGAAGGTCCTCAAAAACGGCTTCAATAACCATGTCAGACTTTTCAAATCCCTGATAATCAAGTTGCCCAGTGAGACTGCTGTAAATGGAATCTCTTTCAAATGATGTCAGGCTTTTCTTCTTCACTTTATCATCCAACCTGAGAAAATATATCATCAGTTAGAGTACTACAGAGAAACAGCATCAATTACAAGAGAGCCTAAGTACTTTTTGTGAAAGGAAACTGGCATAGTACCAAAATAACAATATGAGAAAAAGCTTTTTGTAGCTGTGGTACACTAAAAAAGTACAATTTTATTAAGGGGAAGGTGGCCTACAATGGGTATTAAAAACACAAGAATGAACAGAATTTGATACTTAATATACTCTTTAATTAAACATTTCCATAAAACTAATTTAACCTGAAAACAGTTTTGGGCTTGAATTATATTGAGGGAACCTGGAAGTGTATGCTAAGGTAATGGAATGCTCCCAGAATAAAAGGTGATGGGAAAATTTTGGTGCCACAGAAAAGCCATCCTATTTTCATAACAATAATAGCTAACAGTTATATGTGCTTTAAGGTTTGCAAAGCACTTTACATCCACTATATCATCTAATACTTAAAACAAACTTGTGAGGTAGGTGCTATTGACTCCCATTTTATAGAGGAATAAACAGAGGCTGACAGAGGCCAAGTAACTGTGCACAGGGTCACATAGTTTGTATCTGAGCCAGGATTTGAACTCAGGTCTTCCTGATTCCAAGTCTAGTGCTGTATCACTTCTGCTACTGTGCTGCCTTCAAATAATTACTGTAACTAATACACAGACACACAGACACACACACACACACACACACACACACACACACATATATATATCAATTTGTAACATATATAAATATAATTTTATGTATATGTATATATGTATTTATGTATATATATCTAAAAATGTCTATGTACACACAAATTCATATTACTTCACATATTAATACATGCACAGATATATATAAACATATAAAAATAATATACTATCAACACATAGTCAAGTACATTAAAATTATTTTAAAATTTGGAGATAATTTAGAAGTGGAAAAATAATACTCTTTCTTAAGGCATACCTATTCATATAATACCTGAATCACCAAACTTCTTTAGAACACAGTTCTCATAAATACTTTTGTAATAGTTTCAAGAGTTTGTCTCTTTTCCATTAGTTGTAAGCTCCATGTAAGCAGGAAGGAAACATACCTTACACTTATTTTTTAATTCTCCCATGATACCTAGCAGACCTCTGAATGCTTAATACATATTTACTGACTATTTCAGGGTCAGTTTCAAGGAGCTGAATATATATTTCTGCTTTAATGCTAATACTTCCATGGACTCTGCTTTATTCTTCCAAAGAAGACAGTAAACCTACTTGGCTGACCCAACTTTCCTAGCAAAGGATTTTTATAGGATCAGATTTAGAGCTAGTAGAGATCTTCAAGATCTCTTGTCAAGTCTAACTTCATTTTAAACTGAAACCCAAAGAAGTTAAGTGAAACGAATCCATGTGCTATGACTCCAATTTTAGCATTCTTTCCATCGAACCTACTTCTTCATTTTAATAAAGAGACCAACTGAAGCCCCTTTTCTAATTCACTGGACCAGGTGTAAACTTAAGCTCTGAAAGCTAGCTCGTTAAACTGTTAATTGAGGTCTCAGGCAGGGTTCAAATCTCAACAGTTCTAAAATGCTTTTTCGTGTAACGTCTTGCTAAGAGGGAAAGGCTGCCCAAGTGTAAAAAAACCACTAGTTGCTATAATCTTAATCCTCACACTGTCCCAATTAGTAAAGACCTGCTTCCAAGAGAGGACAAGGATACCTGAATAAACAGAGCTAGCAACACTGCACTAGAGGAAAGCTAATGGGTCAGAGAAGAGAAGGAAAACTTGTAGGTGACAGAGGCAGTTTTGTCTCAAGGAAAGTAGGATGTAAGGGTGACCGTACACAACAATTTTATAGCTGTATGTAAGAATTAAAAACTAGATCAAGAATAAGTAGGACCTGAAAGATGATCCCATGGCAAAGTTCTCATTTCAGAGAACTTAAAAGTTCATGGGATTTAGACCAAAAGGGACCTTGGAAATTGTCTCAATCAACCCTATCACTTTATAGGTAGGGAAACTGAGGTCCACAGGAGGGAGGTGTTCTTCCTGGGGTAACGTAGCCAGATACCGAGAAAACTAGGCCTAGAATGTATATGTCCTAAATCTAGGTCTAAGGTTCTTTCCTTCAACTCTTCATCTGCCAATATTTGGTAGAAAACATACTCTGCCACCAAGTGTAAGCTTGTTAAGAGCAATAACAGCAATACATAAGTTTCTTAGCTATAAATGAATATTAAACTCACTTGTTATTTTTAATTAAAATAACAATTCACTTAGTTAAGGACTATGTTCTTAATCACATAAATGTGGACTGCTTGTCCAGGAGGAACAGAACAAGCTCTGTGTTTTGAGATTTGCAAAATGTCCGTGCCCAATTATTTTGCACTCTACATGAAGGGAATCATTAATTTCTGAGATAATGCAATAATGGCAGCTCTTAAATCCTGGAATAAATGTCTATTCAGTGATATTTCAGATACTACAACTGTCGTTCTACCACTCTATAGAGCTTAAATACTAGCCTAGAAAATCTTGGGTCCACGAAATCCAAACATAGCCCCATCCTTATTGTATTATTTCATCTCTGAGTGGTTTTTTTCTCCACAAATATATAATGTAAGCTAGAAGGAATACATAGCCTTACCCTATTAACACTGTACCATTCTCATAGCAGTCCAATTAGAACTAATGATCTTAGAGTCTGATGCTAAAGGGAAAGGTAAGTGGTATTTTTGAAAATGAGTAGCTAAGATAGACAATATAGACATAACAATTTCTCCTTTTGGCAGACAGCAAAATCATATCACCATTCCTAACATAACGAGGTAAAAGAAAAGAGGTAATATTACTAAAAGTCAAAGAGAATTTGGGTTAATTATGTAGTTATCATATTTTCTATGAACTAAATTCAGGTAAATAAGATACTGGAAAATGAGGAGTTTCTTTTTTCCCCATACAGAAATTAATTTTTTTTCAGGCAAGACAATGCAGACAGTCACAAGCCTATATTGTTTAGACTTACCCTTTGAAAATTTGCTGCTGTCCTCGTCCTAACCCCGCGACTGAAGTATCTTTGAGTATGGTCTTTAGCCCTTTATCCACAGAAACTTGGGCAATGCCAGCTCCCATAAGCCCAGCTCCAAGAATAGATAGCTGCCTAAGACAAGAGGACAGTGATTTGAACTGCCAATCTCAACTTTTGTTTACTTCAAACATAATTCATAAGATAGGTATCTTAGCTAATAGGCAAGCTGGGAGCTAAATAAAGCAAGAACAAAAATTAAGTGACTTATTTGTTCATACAATTAAGTATACCTGTAAATATATTTTTAATGACTGGTAAATTCTTACATTTAAAAATTTTACTTAAATTAATAAATTCTCAAAAATAAACATGAAATACAGACATAAGAACAATACCATGCAAGAAAAATGATTTTGGGTTCAATTGTGATAATCAGGAAGAAATGGATTTTCATTGTAACCAACTGAGAAACTGTTGAATACAAACAAGTGGCTAAGACTGGTTATCACACTTATTCAGTGCTTGGTTTCAGTTTAGTGTTCTATTTGTTCATATTATTTTAGTAACTGTAAATATTGATTTTCTGATTCAGCTTCCTTCACCCTGCATCAGTTTCCCCCCTCTGCTTCAATTCTCCAATACTTTCAAAACTGAATCACTTCCAGCAGAGATCTGTGTATGCTCCGGTTTCTCCGACTGCTCTTCAAATCTTTGTCTTCTTTAGTGACATTTCTAAGTCTTTATACTATACACTGGGTATTAAGGTAAAAGAATTCAAACCTGATAGGTTCCAATGTCAAAGGTAATGAAATTATTGGCAGATCTGTTCCATTTTTCATCTATTTGATAATCTCTGCCCAGATTTATGTAGAAATGGTCTAGGCCTCTAGGGATAATATAGCATGACTGGGCCTCCAGCCAAGCTTCTTCAGACTTGTTTCTACTCAATCAGCTTTTGGCTGTTTCATTGGGCGTGCCTCATCTTCCAACACTGCTCTGTAACTTTTCTCAAATGAATCTATAGCTCAAACTGGCATTGTACTTGGATGACACTTCTTTCTGCTTGACTAGCAGATCAAATATTTACTAAGTGAGACAGTTTCTGGGCTTAGTTGGCCTCCTTGTGGTAAATGCTTTATATCAAACTTCAATAGGAAATAATGGAAATCAATGGCAATGGTTTTTTTTTATTACTCATTTTTGGCATCAAAGTCTGCTTGAATAAGTCAGGTTGGAGCTCTAATGGTGTCTTTTCATTTTTGTCTTTTGTACTTGGTCATTTTGACCTTTCCTTTAAAGGATGGACTGATAAAAACAGCTGACTCCGAAATTAGTTCCACATCTGTTAAAATATAGTCAATTTTATATTTTGTAATGCCGCTTGGTGTTTACCACATCTTTTGCCTTTCCAAACTTCTAGAAAAAAGTATCTGCATAAGTGGGAGGATTCAACAAAATACCGGTCTCTTTCATTTCCTAATTCTGTACTATGTTTTTGCTGTCTTCCCCTAAAGCCTGTCTTCAGTGCTTCAGTCACTGAGCACCAATGCAATGCTGACCTTTGGAGGGGAGGTACTTGAGTTCTCTATTTCATCCTCTCTAACAAAAGTTAACATATAAATTGCAAATACCTTCATGATGCTTTCGCACCCCACAAGGTAATACACATAAGAATTTCACGAAATGATGTTTCTTGTTGTCTTTGAACCCATAATAAAACTAACCACCAATTCCTTTATCTACTTCCTCAAGCTATCTTTTCATTTAGCTATAAGTTCTTTGTATGCCTTCTGATTTCAGCAGCCTACATCAGAGGAGAGTAGAGATACGCGTACCTGGCAGATCTAGGCTGAAACCAGGCCTAGGCCTGACTGTCAAGCAGAGACTGGTAGTGTTCACATGACTAAGTCATTTACTCCAACCCCTGATTTTACGTATGAGAAAACTAAAGCCAAGGAGAGGTTAAGTCACCTGCCCAAGGTACCTAGCCAGGGGACTACCTCCCACCATCCTCTGGATGTTTCACCCTTCCCTCCTGACTATAGCCTCCCAGGTGAAGAACAGACTAAATCCTGCTCAACTTTCTCTGCTGTACTCCTTGGAGACAGTGTTTCATCTATCACCCACTATTATCCCTATGGCATCTACTTCTCTCTCTATCCCTGTAATAATTAATCATCAATCATTCAGCAGAAAACTGTCTCCTGTCTCCTCATTTGTCTCATCCCCATCCTCCTCAACCGAGGCCCAGTCTAACCCTGCCCACCCTTCATACTGTGCTCTCTAGAATTTCTGTTCCATACTGAACAAATTGCCCTTCATTGTAGACCTCTTTCTTCCACATTTTATCCATGTCTTAGACCTCACAGAGATCTAGCTCACCTCTGATAACACTTCATCTCCTGGTTATCCTCTACTACACTAGGTGTTCCTTCTCTAATCACTCTGACCATCTATTATTGCACTGGTTCTGGAGAGGGAATTGGAATACTCGCTGTTACTTTCAGACTCTCCCTTTGCCTGCTTCACACAATAACCTTTCCTCTTTTGAAATGCACACAATTAATATCCTCTACTCAATCAATATTATTGTAGCTATACTATGTTAACCCTCAAGTCATTCCTCCTTCCTCATGGAGTTCGACGTCTGGGTCATCATCTTCCTCTCTTTTTCTCTCATGCTAGGAGATTAATATTTATGTAAATGGTCTCTTAAACTCCCTAACCTCCTATTTCCTTAGAGTCCTTTAAGTACCAGACTCCACATCAGCAACACACAGGGACGGTCACACACTAGATCTTGACATTACAGGAAGCATTCCGCTTCTCGAATTAGAAATCGGCATACCCCCAATCTATTTGATCACAACCTCGCCAGTGGCAACCCAACAGTTAGCTATTTCAACTCTATACTGTCCTCTACTCTTGAATCCCTTGCCCCTTTGTCTTACTGCTGCTTTTCTAGAGCTTAGCCCCGAATTACTCCCATCATTTACCTCCTCCATTTCTATTCACAAGCAGCCAATAAAAGTTGGAGAAAATCCCTCAACTGTGCTGACTGGAGACATTACAAATTCATATTATCCCACCTCAATTGAGCACTCACTGCAGTAAGGCGGTCCTTTTTTTCCTCCCTAACTGATTTCCTATTTTACCGCCCACAGCAGCTACTCCAAATTTTCTCTTCTTTTCTGAAGTCCTGCACAACCCTCATCCCCTCTCTCTCAGCTGAGGACAATGCCTCTATTTAATTGAAAAAATTAAGGCCATCCAATATGATCTCCCTCTTCTCTCATCTGAAAAGCCCCTGACTTTATCACTTTTCTGCTTTCCTCTAATCTCTGACAAAAAAGTGTCCCTTGTCCTTGCCAAGGCCAACCCCTCCATATGTACACTAGATTCCCTTCTGTCTTCTCCAGCAGATTGCATCCTCAATCATTTCTCTTTCTCGAATCGTCGTCCTCTCTCTATCAACTGGTTCTTTTCCTGTCTTCAAAAAGGCCCCAATTTCCCCTATCCTTAAAAAAAAAAACCTTTCACTAGACCCACAAGCTATTGTCCTGTACCTAACCTCCTTTTCTCAGTCAAACTGTTTGTACAAGTTTTCTACACTTGCTTCCTGTACTCTCTCCCCTCTCACTCACTCTTCCACCCTTTGTCCTCTGGCTTCTGACCTCATCACTCAATTAAAACTATTCTCTCCAAAGTTACAAGTAGTCTCCTAACTGCCAAATCTGATAGTCTCTTCACAAGTTCTAATCATTCTTGAAATATCTGCTACATTTGACCCTGCTGACCACTCCTCCTGGGCATTCTCTCCTCTCTGGGTTTTCTTGAGACCGCTCTCTCCTGGTTTGCCTCCTACTGGTCTGATGGCTCCTTCTCAGCCTCCTTTGATGGCTCAATATTAACATTAAAGCCTTAATTTTGTGAATTACTCAAGATTCTACCTAGTTCTTCCACACCAGTGGTTCTTAACTCTGGGGTCCATGGAACCACCAACGGATCTGTGCATAGATTTCAGGGTGTCACTGAACTTACGTGGGAAAAAAATTATATATTTCTACTAACTTGTAACTGACATTTAGCATTTCTTTCAATGATCAACTTTTAAAAAATTATTCTGAGGAGGGTTCCACAGGTTTCAGACAGCAAAAGGAGTCTATGACATAGAAAAGATTAGCAACCTTTCCTCTATATTCTTTCTTGCTAACCTCATCAGCTCATAGGTTTAACCAGCCATCTCTATGCTGATGACTCCCAGATTTATACCTCCAGCCCCTGGGTCTCCCCTGAATTTCACAGATGAATAATACCAACTGTCTATTGGATATTTCAAACTGGTTATCTCAGAGACATCTTAAACTGAACATGTCTAAAACTGAACTCATCTTTCTCTTTAAACTGCCAAAGTTTCCCTTTCCTGTCAAAGTCCACCATCGTTCAACTGTATCAGGTTCATAATTTCAGTATCATCCTGGAGCCTTCATTCTCCCTTCACAATATTATTTGCATCTGACCCTTTCTATTTACAAAACTACACCTTAGTTCAGATCCTCACGACCTCTTGTCTAGATTATTGCAACAGACTCCTAACTGGTTTCCTGCCTCCAGTCTCTTACCACTTCAGTCCATTCCACATACTGCTGACAGAGTAATTTTCCTTAATCACAGATCTGACCCTACTTAATCAACTCTGATGGCATCCTATTTTCTCTCTAATGAAATATAAACACCTGTTTCACTTCTAATGCCTGGCATAACCTGGCACCATCCTACCTCTTCAGTCTCATTGGAAAGTATTCCTTCTGCCCTTTCACTCTGTAACCCACATAATACTGGTTTTCTTTATGCTGCTCACTCATGACACTCTAGCTTTTGTATTTAGGCCTTTATATTGGCCACTTCAATGCCTAGAATGCACAATCTCTTTGCCTCTGCCTCAGAGTCCCTCTTCTTCAAGACACCCATATTCTGCATGAAGCCTTTCCTGACTTTCCCAACTGTTACTGCCCTTCATGTACCCTGTATTAAACTACTTTGTATGTGTATAAACATATATTTATATACATGTATATGCAATGTACATATATACATAACATGTCACACACACATAACTATTTATTAATTTTATATTTATGTGGTATATCTTTTTATATATACTTCTTGTCTTCCCCATTAGAATACAGGATCATTGAAAGTAGGGATTCTTCCATTCTTTGCACTTGTATCTCTAATGCCCGGCACATAGTAGGTGCCTAATACATCTTTGCTGATTGAGAATAACAGTACCGATAAGGTTCCCTCCCCCTGGTAATGTATCTCCAAGTAACAGTGTTACGGACAGTATATTTTTCCTTATTTCATGGACTTTTAAAAATGTTCTAAATGTAACATTTGGTGGTCAATAAAAATTTCTATGAAAATTTCCCCTTTTCCATTCCCAATGAAACCCAGTACAGGCTCTCATCATTTCAAACCTGAATTATTACAAGAGAATCCTTACTGGTCTTCCTTTCCAATTAAAGCTCCCTGTCATTGTCAAATTAATCTTATTAATACGATGGCCTTCATTATGTCCTCCCCCTGATCAAGAACATATAATGGGTTCACAACTGCCTATCATGTCAAGCAAAACCTCCTCTACCTAAAATTTTTTTATTGATATAATTTCCAAATATATCTGTCCTCCTACTCTACTCATAGAATCATTACTTATATGAAATAAGGAAAAAATTGCATTTCATTAAAATCAACCAATACATCAACTTAGTGTAACAGAATATGCCATTTTTCACCTCTGCAAAGACAGGTGGAAGAATCCATTTTCTTATCTCTTTGGAGCCAAATTTGGTCATTATCAGTTTCTTTCTGTTTCTTCCATCTAATTGCTATAATCATTGTGTATATTGTTTTTTTCTGATTCTGCTTAATGAATTCTGTATCAGTTTATATAAATCTTTCATGCTTCTCTGTAGTCTTCATATTTATTATTTCTTATGTGAGTTATATTCCATTATGTTTAGGTACCAGAATTTATTTAACTGTTCCTCAATCTCTGTCTGACTTAAGCAAAATACAGGCTTTACTCTATCTATCCAGCTGCATTACCCCCCTAAAATGCATCTTCTTATCATCCTTTTTTATCCTTGAAATGTAGTTAAATGTTAAGGGGCATTAAAAACTGTGGCAATTACCAAGATAAATTTCTCTGCTAATGAGAAAGCTTGTTTGCATTTGGTTCTCAAGGAGCATACAAATTCTCAACATTTTAGAAGGCATAAAGTTTTTCAATAAGCCATATTTCTGACTTTCTAAAAGGGCTTTTTCTCTGGAAGCTCAGACCCAGGGGACTATTTAGGGTTAAAAGGACCTTAGAGATACCTCATCTAATCTAACCCCCTCATTTTACAAAGGAGGAAAGTAAAACCAAAGAGAAGTTAAGTTTCTTGCCCAAGGCTACACAGGTAAGTAGCAAAGTTATAACTCAAACCCAGGACCTATAATTCTAAATCGAGTAGTCTCTGAACTATACTACATTGTCTTTCCAAACTGGAATAAATGATAAACTGAAAAGGAAATAGTCACAGAACAGATTATGTAGTATGAATATGAATACTAATCTTTATATGACAAGATTTTTTCTGGTCTTGTAATTACTAAATTATCAATTGCTGAGTATAATGAGAAGACTTAATTTTTGTGTGGATCAAAGCTGTATATTCTATTTTGAAACAGGTCCTGTTTGCTAGGATCTTTTAAGTCTTAGCCAGTTTGAAAATTTTTTACAACTTATATATATATATATTTTTCACAAACATTAGTTTGTCTTCCTCTTTAGCTGATATACTCTCAAGGCAGAGGATCTGAAAGTAAGACATTTGGGAAGCACACAGAACTGAATGGCTGAGGAGAGTATAGGTATAGAAAAAAATGTATCGGTTTTAGATTATGAACTCAGAGAATTTGAACTCAATATCTGAGTGCAACTAGGCTTTTATAATTTTTTGTTTTGTTTTAAATGGCACACAGAGAGGATAGGCTCATTAAGCGGAACACATGTGAATGTGTACATAAGTACATAGATATACAGACTATGTAAGAATGTATGTAGGTATGTATGACATAGGGAGAAAAGAGGAAGGCATGCTACAGACCATATTTTTTGAAGATTCCTATATCCAGTGAAACTGTAGACAAGGAAGGGCCTTTGCAGAAGTAATAAGAAAGGTATGAAAAAAAACAACAAAAACCAAGAAAGAACAGCAATTTAAAGCCAATAGTTTTAGTAGGAATAGAGGAAAAAGGCAAAGAAAGCATTAAAAACCAAGAATTCACTACAGAGTTGTTGCTCCCTACACAATTTTGTATCTTTGCCAGTCTAGGGTCTGACTCACGTAACAGGCTTCTGTGGAGCTCCAAATTTATTCTTCTTGCAAAGAACCTGACCATTGTAGAGACCAATTAAAGCCTTACATTCTCTAGTCATCGCAAGTTCACCAAATTTCTAAAAAGTGAAGGAAACGAAAAGGAATATATTTAGGTTATATGGATTCTGTTGATCAGAAATGATTTGTTCTTTGATTTGACTACACTGAATTACATACCATTAGTGTTTTTTTTGTTTGTTTTTTGGTGAGGCAACTGGGGTTAAGTGACTTGCCCAGGATCACACAGCTAGTGTCAAGTGTCTGAGGCCAGATTTAAACTCAGGTCCTCCTGACTCCCCAGGGCCAGTGATCTATCCATTGTGCCACCTAGCTGCCCCCATACCATTAGTTCTTAACTTTTTAAATATGAAGACATTTTAAAAATGTCAACAATGTCATGAGTCTCTATGATAAGAGTTGTACTATTAGTATCTATTGGTTAATCAAATAAAAATTCATAAAAAAGTATTATTGAATTCATAGTAACTTTGTGTTAATTTCACAGTAACTTCTCAATCAAGAGGCAGGATGAATTAGTGGTTAGAGAACTGGACTCAGTTACAAAGACCAGGGTAAGTCTAACAACTTTTCAGTGCCTCCAAGTGCCACTAAAAAAAATCACAATGTGCAAAATATTTGCTTATCTGTATTTGTAGAGGGAATTTCCCATACCAAGGAAATAACAGGTTCAGGTGACTCAAAATGTCAATGTTTGATGCACACAGATGCGCAGAACACCTGTAATAATTCCGTAGATCTAAAAGTTTTTTATCAAATAAGTTGGGAACTACTATTTTTTACAATGAGTAATTCTTATATGTAATTTTCCTGCTGCTTTTCTTGTAACTGCTATGGTTTTTGCTATTGATATTGTAAATGAATTTTGTATTGCGATTAGAAAGCAATGTTGACTTCCTACCTTCCAACATTCCAAATCTTTAAACACCTAAGCCACCTACTACGTAGTAGAAGGGTACCCAAAGACATGAATTAATATGTTAACAGTTGGAAAGAAACAAACAACCTACTGAGCTCATGCATAGTGTGTTTCCTTGGCTTTATACTGAACCACAATTATTAAGAAGTGGAGTTTCCTAAATGGACAGGAAGAAGGAATAGTTCTACATATTTGCTTTTACCTGGGATTCAGAGAGGTAGCCAGCTTCACTCCCATGTTCAATTCCAGTCTTCACCACCTAAAAGATATAATAGTAGCACTTATTCAGTGTTACAATTTTAAAGTGTTACAAAAATGAAATAAAATAAAAATTTAAGGTATAATAAAACTGAATGAAAGTGTGAACTCTCTGAAGCTACCACCTGATTATGTCATAGCCCATGTGGTAAGATGGCCTCTGCCCACACTGGGAAGCCTTAAACCAGGGCTTAAGTAAGGAAAGAATGCATGGTATTTAATGATTCTTTCCACTTCTTAAGTTTCTACTTACACCTAAGAATAACCAAAAGAACAGTAGGCTCAGACTTCTGTTTTCAGTTCTTATTCAATAGTAGCATGTAATTGTGCTTCTGTTTCAGTGATCTGAGTACATCAGAATATTCTGTGTTATTTCTTCTATTGTTAATTAACTTTTTAAAAGTTTATGTCTTTTCCTAATACAGAAATAGGTTTTACATGATTGCAATATATGACCTATATCAAATTGCTTCCCATCTTAGGGAGGGGGGAAGGTACAGGGGGAAGAAAATTTGGAACTCAAAATTTTATAAAAAATGAATGTTAAAAATTGATTTTACATGTAATTGGGAAAAATTAAATACTCTTTTAAAAAAAGTTCATGTCTTTTCTACCTTAAAACTTCTTATATCTTCTATAATACCTAACAAAGAACCTTAGGTTTAACAATTTTTTCAACTGATTAGCTGAAGTCCATAAAGTGATGAATCAATTTTCTCTCTCTCTTTACCACTGTCTTTACTGACTGAAGGGTTTAACTTGATGCCATAAATTTATGTAGCATTTTCTTAATGAACTCAAAATAACTTACCATATATCATCTCATGTACACCAAAATAATAGAATGAAGTAGAAACATGGAAATACTGTTATTTTCTAAAAATTTATTATTTGTTTTAAAATTCATATAAAATTTTTTTGAGTTCCAAATTCTCTCCTTTCTCCAGACTTTCTATTGAGAAGGCAAGAAATATATCAATTATATGTAAAATCATGCAGAACATATTTCTATTACTAGCCATGTTGCAAAAAAAAAAAAGCAAGAAAAAAAGCAAGTAAAAAAATTAGACTTCAATTTGCACTCAGGCTTCATCAGGAGATGAACAGTATTTTTCATCATGAGTTCTTTGAAACTGTCTTGGATTACTGTATTGATCAAAGTGTTAAGTCTTTCACAGGTTACAATATTGCTGTAACTGTGTACAATGCTCTTTTTGGTTCTCCTCACTATACTTTATATCAATTCATATAGGTCTTCTCAGGTTTTTCCGAAACCATCTCCCTTCTCCTCTCTTACAGCACAATAGTGTTCCATCTCAATCATATGCCACAACTTGTTCCAGCCATCCCCTCAAATGCCAATTCTTTGCCAACCACAAAAAGGTGTTATAAACATTTCTGTCCTTTCCCTTTTTCTTTTATCTCTTTGGGATACAGACCGAGCAGTGGTAAACAAATATTATTATTCTGATTTTCACATAGATGGAGAAAAACTGAGGTAAAGAAAAGAATGGGAGGAAGTGTTCATGATAGTTACCTTCATATATACGAAGTGCTGTCATGTGAAAGCCTGGCTCTAGAGAACAGAACTAGAAGCAATGGTTTGTAAAAATTGCATAAGAAAAGATTTGATGCTCAAAAAAAGGGGGAAAAAATTCCTAATAACTAGCTGCTCAAAAAGTGAATTAGGCTGGGGCAGCCAGGCAGTGCAGTGGATAAAGCTCAGCCTTGGAGTCAGGGGGACCTGAGTTCAAATCTGGCCTCAGACACTTGACACTTACCAGCTGTGTGACCCTGAGCAAGTCACTGAACACCGATTGTCTCACAAAAAAAGAAAAAACAGAAAAAAAGTGAATTAGGCTGCCTCAGAAGATAATCCCCATCCCTAGAGATCTTTAGAGGTTAGATTCAGGTCAATTGTCAAGGATACTGTACAGGAATCACAGAATCGCACAGAGAATTACGTCCTCAGGTACTAAAAGCACTGCAGCTGAGCTGCTATCAGGGATCCCAGAGAATCATTGCAAAAATCTCGAGGACAAATGTCCCAATGACAGAAAAGGGAAGTCTGCAAACTACAGACCACTGAGTCAGCAAACTACAAACTACTGTTTTTGACTGCTGGGAAAATTCTAGAATGGATTCTTAAATATCTGGCTGGTGAACATACAGATATGGAAGTGGTCATTAAAAAAGGAACAGTGTTGCTTCATCCAGAACAGATCATACCAATGGATAAGTAGCCAAAGGATATGAACAAATAGTTCTTAATAGAATTGCAAACCATTAACAGCCATATGAAAGAATATTCTAATTCACTAATAAGAAAAATGTAAATTTTTTTAAAAATTTCACCTTATATCCAGCAAACTGGCAAGATGAGAAAAGATGAGAATAGTCAATGGTATGGTACTTGTGGAAAAAGAGGAAGGCTAATATGAAGCTTGTGGAACTATAAATTTGTATAACAGTTCTGGAAAGCAATTTGGAACCATGCTGAGAAAAGTGACTAAAATGTCCATACCAAGAGACTCTACTGCTAGAGACATATTCCCTGAGGGGTCAGTGATAAAAAGAAAGATCCCATATATACCAAAATATTTATAGCAGCAAGTTTTGGAGCAGCAAGAACTGAAAACAAAATAGACGCCTACCAACTATGAAATGATTAAACAAACAGACCAAGTTTGGCTCTAAAATGAGAACGCAGCCTTCTGCTTTTTGTAGAGTTGGGAAACTGTGTATGGAACATAATATTATGTGACAGAATAAACTGGTTTTTCCCCCTCCATTTAAAAAAATTCTTTGTCATAAGAGATGCCCTTTGGGAGTGGGGGGACATATTGAAAAACATGACTGATGTAAAAACAAACATACATATTTAATGACAAACAGATGATCATGCCCAGCTAACTTCACTTTGTTTTTTGACAATGTTACTAAACTGGTAGATCATGGAAATGCTGTAAATAGAGTTTACCTTGATTTTAACAAAGTAAATCTGTGTCAACTTGTCACGAGATAGTTCATGGAGTGCCAGACATCTGTGCTTGGTTCCATGCTATCTAACATTCTTAGCAATGACTTGGATAAAGATAGCAATGATATGGCCAACATATTAGCAGATGACAAAAAACTAGGAGAGCCAGTTAACACACTAAATAATAGATTTAAGATCCAGAAAGATCATGACAGTTCCGAACTTTGTGCTGGGTCTAATAAGATGATATTCAACAATTATCATTTTAAAGTCTTAAACTTGGGGACAAAAAACCCCCACAAGTACAGGATTGGGGAGGTATGATTTTAAAGCAGTTTGTCTGAAAAAGATCTGAGCTTTGGCAGATATAATAACTTAATAAATCAGTAGTGTAATGTGGCAGGCAAAAAAGGTAATGTAAGATTGGGTTGCATTGAGGTGAAATCTCCTACACCCTGGTCAGACCACACCTGGAGTACAAAGTTCAATTCTGAGAGCTACAGTTTAGGAGGATATTGATAAGTCACAAAGTATCCAGAGAAAGGCTGCTAGGATAGTGAAGATGACTCCATATGATAAAAGGATGAGGTGAAATAATCAGGGATGTGTGGCCTAAAGAAGGGAGGAGCTATACAGGGGGGAGAGTAACAGGACGTGATTTCTGTGTTCAAGTATTTGAATGGCTGTAATATGGAAGAGAGATTCAATTTGTTCTGCTTGGTCCTAGAGAAGCAGAATCAATACCAATGGATGGAAGTTTTGGAGGGAACTTTAAGCTTAGTGCCAGGGAACTTTCAACAATCAGAGTTGCTCACAAGTGGAATAGGATACCTTGAGAGGTGATGAGTTCCCTCTTCCTTGAAGGTCTTCAAGCAGGGGCTATGATAATGGATATTTTTTCTGGATATAACTTGGACCAAATGGTTGTTGAAACCCTCTCCAAGTGTGCAATTCTACGATGATAATCAGTAACTCTGGTCCCATTAATTCAGAAGTATGACTTATTAACCCTTAAAGGTATTCTTTTAAATCTGACAAAACAAACTTTTTCATCACTTTGACTTTCATTTTTAAAAATCTATAACCCCTTAGAAGCAGCTAGGTAGACAGAGTGCTGAGCCTGGAGTCAGGAAGACTGAGTTCAAATGTGGCTGCAGACATTTACTAGCTGTATGACCTGAGGCAAGTCACTTAACCTCTGTCTGCCTCAGCTTCCTCAATTGACAATAACAGCACTTATCTCAGAAGGTTCTTGTAAGGACCAAATGAGATATTTGTAAAAAGGGCTTAGCACAGGATCTGGCAGTATAATATATATAGTAAAGAAGGCTCTACACAAATATTTACTCCTTTCCTTCCTAGATAGCTTGATAATAGGCAGGGAAACGGGGATATTTTCCTCAAAACTGATTCCCTTTTCATGCTTCATCCTGCCAGTCACCCATGTTCATAACCATGAGAGACATCCTTGACTTTCTCTCTCTGTTACCCTCATATCCAATTGGTTGCCAAGTCTTGCTGATTTCTTTATCACCTCTAGCCAAGACTACTGAAAAAGCCTAACTAGTCTTCCTGCTTCTAGTTTCTACTTTCTCCAATTAATCTTCGACATAGACACCAAACTGATATTCCTAAAACACAGTTCCAATAATGTTACACTCCTAGTCAAAGAACTTCAGTGGTTTCTTATGATCTCTATGACTAAGAGCAACATTTTCAGCCTGGCATTTAGAATCCTCTACAATATGGAGCCCACCTACTGTTCAGTTTTATATCATATTACTCCCCTTCTCACACTTTCTGTCCCAGTCAAAGCAGACAGCAAGCTCTTGTCGGCATACATCACATTCTATCTTCTATGTCAGGAGGTCTCCCATTCCTGGAATGTATGCCCTCTTTACCTATCCCTTTCAGATCTCCAACTTCCTTCTAAGCACAGCTTAGATGAAAATTATCCACTTTCCTAATTTCCTCTCCACCCACCCAATTACTAGTAAATTGGGAAATGTTTAACAAAATAAATAAAACTATAATACAACAGAGATAGTATTATACTTTGAAATACTTTGCACTTACTTATCTGGGCACATCAGTGGTTCTCAAACTTTTTTTGTTTATGGCACTGCATGAACTTTTTGGCTGTGAGGAATCCTGTTAAGCTGGCAATCTAGATGAGTGTCTGGAAATTCATGCATGTACATGCAATTTGCAAGTGTAAGTTCCAAACAATTTGTGGCACACCTAGAGAAACTGTGCTGTAGTACACAATCTGAAAGCCAATGATGTATGCGTTGTAGACCCCCAGCAGAAGATGGGTTTCTTGAAGGCAAGGACTGCTTTGTCTTTGTATCTCCACTATTTTGTACATCAGTGGTGTCAAACTCAAATTGAAAGGGATCTCTATGGCTGCATATTGACTTAGAAAACCAAAAATTAACACTATGTTGTATTAAAGTTTTATTTATTTTGGTAAATATTTCCCAATTTATATTTTGTTTGTTGTTGTTTTTTTGGCTAGGCAATGGGGTTAAGTGACTTGACCAGGGTCACACAGATAGTAAGGGTTATGTGTCTCAGACCAGATTTGAACTCAGGTCCTCCTGACTCCAGGGCCAGTGCTCTATCTAGCTGTCCCCCAATTTACATTTTAATCAAGTTCTGGCTACACTGGGGAGTTTCGTAGGACTGCCCCGATCAAGTTTAACACTTCTGTTATACATAGCAGGCATTTAGTAAATGTTTGTAGGATAAGAAACTCACATCAATTATTTTCAGAGGAGCTGGATAAAGACCTTTGGTTTGTTTCTGTACTTTCTCTTCAACTTTTTTGTAGATCAGTTGCCTCACAAATGGAAAAGTCATGGCATATCCTGTTAACTCTGCAAGGCAAAATGTTTTCAGACTTTAACTGGGAAGAACCAAACTTTCTTAGCAGTTTTTTTCTGTAACCTCTATAAATGATAAGAGTCTCAGTAGTTCAGAACAGCTGTCTTTTTTTTTTTAACATTCAAGCAACACTTCAGTTTATATTTAACATTAAACTTAAAGTAAATGGAGTGAGGCACATAATGTAACTTCAAAATTAAGTTTTCACCCCTCTTAAATCTCCTTTTTTGTTAGTAGAAGTAAAAACTACTCCTCAAAGACTTCACTAATTACTACTGCATAAATTCTTCCATGCCAAAATGGCAGCTGTTCACGCTCAGGGCCCAGAGTAGCAGCTCTGATTTTGACTTCTCTAATAGACATACTCACTATCAACCAGCCCCTTTTCCTTCTTCCCAGAGATCTTCTTATCAGCCAGTCCTTTTGCAAAAGTGACTGCTACTTCTTCTAGGTATTCAACTGTTCGTTCTTCTGGTAGTTTCACACCTGGTCCTGAAAACATTAACATAACAGTTAAACATAACTAGTACACGCAAAATGATAGATCAAGTCTCTGAAGGAGAACCAATTTTAGCAATCTTACTAAGAACTTATCAAGATAAGATGACAAAGCCTCAGACTGTTTTAATACATTTATCAGATCTGTCAATAGTGTACTTTGCTTAAAGTCAAATCTTTCATTTTCACCTCTAACAGGAAGAGGATCCAAAAAAGTTACATGGACTTCTGAAATGTTACAAGAAAAGGGAAATGCAAGGAGTGCAAATCCATTCACACCAACCAGGTAAAGTTCAAAGCACTCAACTTGACTGATAATTAAAGCCCTATACAACTTGGCTTTATTTACTGCACCTTTCCAGATTTATCTATTTCCTTCTATACACTCTATCCTCTCTGTTACCTGTATACCTACAATCTCCCACCATTCTTTGTTAACACTGTTCCTTATTCCTAGAATACTCTCCCCTCTTTTACTTCTGCAGTTAAATTCCTATCCATCCTTTTTACTTCTCTTTTTTTGGTGAGGCAATTGGGGTTAAGTGACTTGCCCAGGGTCACACAGCTAGTAAATGTCTGAGGCTGGACATGAACTCAGATCGTTCTGACTCCAAGGCCAGAGCTCTATCCACTGTACCACCTAGATGCCCCCATCCACCCTTTTAAAGCAAACATCATCTCATATTTGTAGCCCTTTGTAATTTCTTAGTCAACTATGACTTTCTCCAAGACTTTTTTTTTATTGCAACTCTCTAAAGCATTGTAATGTAATATTGTATTATACCTGCATTTGTCTCATCCTCCTATTTACCTAGAAACTTGATGATGGCAGGAATTCTGTCTTATCTCAACTTTTTGCATTCCCTAGAATAGTGCACTGAAAGCTGTAGGTAGTTGATAAAGTTCACTGAAAACTGATAATGAAACACTCTTCTCTCAGTAGAGAGGTAGGAGACTATGGAATGCAGAATATGGTATATACTATTAGACTTAAGTCACTGTGTCAGTTTTGTTTAGTGTTTTTCTTTAAGGAGGTATTTGATGTGAGGAATGACTCAAAGGGAAATAACTTTGGTATTAAAAGCAAAAGGCAATGATAAACTAAAAATTAAAACAAAATCCTCATTGAATGAATGTTGAAATAATGTAAGTCACCAAACATAGGCATTTGACCTTCTATGAAAGACTTGGGGCAAATGCTGGTTGTATTTCCATTCTATTTCTATTATACTGAATTTGTGAAAAAGTTGTAGGTATGAAAGATGAGACTGGGCTCCTGGAACCAAACACACTGACACAAGCAAGACAGAAGAACTATGAAAAGCAGCTAGAAGAACCCTAAAGCACAACAGTTTAGGTTCACTTAGTGGAGAGTCAAACAGCCTCAGAAGCATCAACGGTTTGAGAATGTAACTGTATTACAGCACAGCACGATAAATGATATTCTAATAACAAGAAAAGTTCTGATTTTCCATTTAAGGAGGCAGAGAAGTGTGCAATGTATTTTTAGAAAGATTTTCACTCAAAATGATTAAAATAATAAAATTCTGAGCTTAAAGGAGTAAATCTCATACATGAAATAACCTTGCTGTCCAAAATGGCTTATTCCCTGAGGGGTCCAGATGGGGCTTTCCCATAATAGTCCCTTGCTTCTACAGGTCACATACTATTAACAAAAGGCAGGATTCCCTGGGTCAGAGAAAACTAACAGAGGTCTTACTCCTAGGCTTGCCTGACAATTAAGCACATAAAGTACATCTTTGGGATATTCTGAATTCTTACCTAGAGGCTCCACCAACTGGTCAACCAGACCCATTTTCTTCGCTCTGTCTGCATGAATATTTCTACCAGTCAGCATCATGTCAAAGGCAGCAGGAATCCCAACCTAAGAGTCAGGGAGCATAGGCAAGCAATGTCTATATTATATCCTGAAAAAGAAACTGCTGCCTGTCATTTAATCAAGCTGGATTTTATATTGCTTACAGAGTAGAAAATACTATATTGTCTCAATTTTTTAATACATTATTTTGACACATCAGTTGCTTCCCAATAGTCTACATGGCACCATACTATTAAAAGGTTGTTGTTCATCCATTTCAGTTGTGTCTGGGGAGCTACAGAGTAGGCCTGGTGGTAAATGTTCCCATCTGAGAATCATCCCCTAAGGAGTAAAAATCCCGCAGCAGGTAGCAACTGGAAAGGAGGCCGAGTTTAGTGGGGTCATGAGTCGGCCATGACTTGTTACCCAGTCATTTTCTCGGCAAAGATACTGGAGAGGTTTAACATTTCCTTCTCCAGCTCATTTTACAGATGAAGAAACAGGGTTAAGTGACTTGTCCAGGGTCACACACACCTAGTAAGTGTCTGAGGCCCAATATGAACTCAGAAGATGAATCCCTGACTTCAGGCCTAGCACTTTATCCACTGCACCACCTAGCTGCCCTACTATAAAAAAGATAAACACAACTAAATAATGAAGACTATTTTTGTAGTTAAATGCCTATTATCAGAAAGAATATATGCTTCAACAATGTGGAAAAAACCTTTTCCATTGTATTCAACCTATGTTATATTGACAAGTGGTTAAATTTTTAAGTTCTTCTGGGGGCACTAATTGGAGCAAACTACTTTTTTCAACTCTTAATTTAAAACACAGTAAGTCAACAAATGGAATTTCAGAATTATGACATCAACAGATTGGGAACTAATCTAAAATATTGCCTAGAACATTAGCAATGGGAATTCAGTTCTCTGTTTTATCAACTTGTGAGCCTGAAATTTCCAAGCCGAGTCCCTTCTAGTTCTAAATATATGGCCGTGCTATGATGATTCCCAATGGGGAACATTCTGGAAGATCAGATAGTGGCCTGGAAAACTGAAATAAGATAAAAATCACTAGCGTGTTCTAGACCAGAGATCTGTATAGGGGATACCACAGGAATGCTCCCTGTTGGAAAGTATTATTTAATATACAAAAATTTAACCTGCCACTACAATAATGTACACAAAAAATGACACTAAAAAGTTATTGAGATCTGATTGATTGTAATGTCAAACCTCTCAGAGAAAAGATGATGAAATACATTTCAGTGCTCTTGGTAGAGAGGGGAAGCACTACAAGTATGGTATGGAATGCTGTATGTGCTATCACATGCAGTCACTTTATTCTGCTTTTTTGTTTTGGTTGTCATAAGGCAGAGTTTCAGGAGGACATTTATTAGGACTGTAGGGTAAAAACAAAAGGTGTCAATCGAAGTCATCAAACTCCAGTTTATAGCCCACTTGACTGAAATGTATCCCTTTGGTATGGAAGTAATACAATTTCTGATTGCTAATTTATCACTCTCCATGTTAGTGGACACCATGATAGCATTATATCAGAATGCTCATAGATCAGCCCCATTTAAATACCCAACTCTAATATTTTGGAACGTGGTCTCAGTCACTCTCTTATCTATAAGACTCCCACAATAGCTTGGGCTTCCTGACACTAGGCCTCTTTTCCAGTTGCTACCTGCTGCGGTATTTGTACTCCTTAGGGGATGATTCCCAGATGGGAACATTTACCACCAGGCCCACTCTGCAGCTCCCCACCAATGACCCAGGTTTTAAACAATCTATAGAACATGGCAGTTAGACTAAACTTAGAGACAGAATTTTTATAATAAAATCATATCTTAAGATTGAGTTAAGTAACAATAGTATAAAATGCAGTTAAGAGAACAATAGATTAGACCTGACTAGGAATAATTCATCCATATATACCCAGGGAAGCTTTAAACTTCAAAGTTTTCTCTCAGAACATGACTTCTACACAGGGGGAAGCTAAAGCATAAAATGCCAGATAGGCACATAGCTTCTCTTGCATATGAGTATGGTTTGTAAGAATCTTAGCTTACCATCTTTGGGAGCCTTTGAGTGCCCCCTGCTCCTGGCAATAATCCCAGTAACACTTCAGGGGACGCCAATACTGTCTTTTTGTCTTTTGTTGCTATTCTGAATTGACACGCAATGGCAAGCTTCAAATACAGAGAAGAAAGGAGTTAGAAAATATGTCAACAGTCAAAATAGGTGGGGCTCTCAAAACTCCTTGAGGCAGGAACATGCCAACATAACCAAGTCTAAGTTCTTTAGCCTGGTATTCAAGGCTTTCTAAAATAGTTTTCAAATCCACTATATCTCCTACATTATTCACTATATGATACCTCTACTAGAAATTATTATATATGCAGGGTTACCCATTGCTTAAATCTTGCTCATTCCTGCTTTTGCCCATGCTATGCCGCCTGCCTGGAATACCCTATTTATTCTTTTGTGGGTAGCCAGATCCCATCTTCAAGGACAAATGTAAGCCTTATTTATTCAATCATTAATTATTCCTTTCTACTCCAGCCCGTAGTGGACTCTCCCCTTAATTCATGAGTATTTACTATATGTACTAGTCACATGTCACTTAATCATACAATTCCTTATATTGTTCTTTATGTAGCTTGTTTCAACTAAATAGTAAGCTCTTTAAGGTAAAACGTCATATCTCTATATCCCTAACTAAGGATAATACTAAACACAGAGTAAGTGGTCATAGAATTCATTATAGAATTTTAGGGCTGCAAGGGATCTTAAGAGATAATCTAGCCCAATCCTCTTATTTTACTAATGAAAAAACCAAAGCCCAAAGAGTTTAAATGATTTGTCCAAAGTTACACAGTGAACTAGTGGCAAAGCTGAGGCCAGAACCTCTGTAAAAACTGAACAAGCAAGAGATTCTCTCTCCCCATTTAGCTGTCCCATTATCTGTACATTTAAAGACTAAGTAGATATTTTTAAATGGTTGCAACTTCTTCGAATCCATTAGCTACTCTAAGTATATGCTGCCAATAGGTCTCATCCTCCCTCCACTGTTTTATAAAGTTTTAGTAACTTTGGTATAAAATTGTACCTCAAGTCCTCCTCCCAGGCAGGACCCACTGATGGCAGCCACAACAGGCTTTGGAGACTTCTCAAGTTTCTGAAACATTTGTTGTCCCTCTTGTGATAACTGAGTTACCTCCTCAGCAGTCTTGCAAGCAGCTATCATGCTGTAGCGTACAAGAAAGTATAAAAATAAAACTACTGCCTCCTCTATTGGTTTTATTTTCATTAATGTATACCACCCCTACATCATACCACAACTTATTTGCTCAAGATGACAAAAAATGGGAATGAACACTGGAAGGCTTTAGAAGGATGGGCCCGCTAATACACTGCATTCTGGAAAACAATTTTGAATACTAAGAAAACAAAATGTTGATGCCTTTCGACCCAGATATCCAACAACTATCCTGAAGATGTCAAAGACAGAAATATCCATAGTTACCAAAATATTTATAGTAGCACTTTTTGTAGTAACAAAGAATTGGTACAAAGCTGGTGCCAACAGGGTGATGGCTAAATAAATTGTGATACATAAATTTAATGGAATATTACTGTGCTATTAAAAACAATGAATATGAATAACATAGAGAAGCATGGGAAAACTTATATGAACCGATGTAAAGTGAAATAAGTGGAATGAGGAAAACAACAATAATGACAACAATATAAATGGAAAGAACAAGAACAAAATAACTGAAACTAAACACTCTGAAATTATAATGACCAAATTTGGGTCCAAAGAAGAGACACATTTAATGTGCACATTTAATGCACCTCCTCGCCTTTGTAGAGGTGAGGGACTATGAGAATAGAACATTTTGCATGGCAAACTTTTCATGTGTTGGTTTGCTTTGCTGAACTGTTTTTCTCCCTCTTTTAAATTCTTTGTTACTTTTCTGTTTCATGGTTGTAAGCAGACTACAACAGATGAAAAATGAGGAACTCTGAAGAACAAGAATAAAAGTTGTCGTCAAGGAACTGTATGTTAGGAAGAGAAGATAGGTGGGTTACAGGGAAAGAGGAAGAGGTGACAGGTAGACAGTCACAGTATTATACTGGTATTCTCACAATGTCAGGAGAAAAAAAGGAAGGCCTCTAAATGAGGAAGATTCATAGCTGGGCAGACCCTTGAATGCCAACTTATAGGAGAATATTGGCAAGAATTGTGCAGGATGGTTAGGCATGGATGGATTGCAGCAATCTGTATCATCGGAGGGAACTCCCCAATTAATTAAATCATAGATCCATTTGAGTTGAGTAGTCTTTATTCCATGTTATGAGGAATTGTTCTCTGGGAATGGGAGGGAACTTCTTGTATTAAGGGAAACATGAATGATGTGAAATCAAGATATAAATAAAAATTTATTTTAAAAGAGAATCAGGTTTTCCCTCTATTTTGTTTTGGACAACAACACCTATATACTCTCTCATACACACCCACACCCCCCTCCACACTTCACTAGCTAAAATGACACACTTACTTGACATCAGCACCAGCAATAAAGCAACCTGGCTTTGTAGAGATAATGACTGCACTTTTGATTGTATCACTAGCCCATATTTCATTCATCACTTGTTCAAAATCTGAGTGCAACTCTTTATTCAAAGTGTTTACCTGTCAAGTAATAATAACAAGTAAGAATAACAATAATAAATAGCCAGCATTTATATAATATTTTCTGATTATTACAACCATGAGGTAGATAATGTAGGTTTATTATCTCCATTTCTTTAAACAGATGAGGAAATAAGCCCAGAAAGGGTAAGTGATCTGTCTATGATGACAAATTCCACTACAGTAACAGACTGTCTTTTGATTCCAATTCCAATATAATTTCCATTACATTACAGATGCCTCAGATCTAACGAGATCAAGTTTTAATTCAAAATGAGATAACATTTCGATGACAGGAGAGACAAAGGAAAAAACCACCACGCCTTGGAAAAAGGAAAGAGCACACTTTCTCTCTAAACACACTGCTTATATATAAAATCAAAAAGCTTTCTGCTTTAGTTTATGCATTTTTCCTAAAAAGCAAATTATTAGCTCTTTCTCTCTCTCTTTAAAAATTAGAATACCCAAAGAAGGAATTGAGGATTATATTCAAAGAGCTTGGTCCATGAGGGAGGAGGAATCAATATATATTCTAAGGCCAAAAAGAACAAGGCAAATTGTGGGAAATTGAAAATTAGAGGGTAACTATTGCTTTACTCTATTGCATATATCAACTGCCTTGTTCAGTATCTTGCATTGCCTAGGAAGCTACTAAATTTCAGAAATATTAAGCATTTGAATCAGCTATCCTTTGTAGAAGGCTAAATTAATGCAACATGCTTTGCTGGAGTTTGGGGGGGGGGAAGGGAGAGTTCTAGTTAGCAGAAAACAACACCTAACAGAGAAGCTACAATGTGTAGCTGTGGTCTTTTGAAATATACAAGGGCTAAGCACATTTAACCCAACCTGATTAGTACAAATGATAATTTATGTCAAAACTATAATATTTCTAACTATAAGACATCTTTAGGAAAATAATCTGCTTTCAATTTCTTTCAATCATCCTTCCTGGGAAGGGATGGTAAATATTTTCAGCGAATTCAAACTAAAAACAATTCATTTTACTCTTCTCCTTTGTACCAGAAGGCTGGTCTTCGGTATCCTTGAAATTAAACTGACACTTAAAGTCAGGTGGAAGGAATGCAAAGACAGGATTTCTGCTTCTGACTCTTTGCTCTCCTTGGGCAACCTGTCAAAAGCCAGGTTAACCTTCAAGATTAAGAGTCTATTTGTTATGATATCTAATTACTATCAGAGCATGGATTATTTTCTGAGACACTTCTTTACAGTATATAAGCCCAGAGCAATTTTTAAAAATGCCATAAATGATGAAAAGCACAGAATTCTTAAAACAACAAATTAAATAAATACCTTTGAATTAGGTGAGTTAATTCGCACAACTGCCACATCTCCTTTGACTGCATAGTTGACATGGGTTCTGGCTAAAAGCAAATGGAAGATTTATTTGCAAACAATATTGTTACTAAACTAATTAAAAATGTGAAGTATTTCAATCAAGGCTATAAACTTACATAACAAAGCAGAGGACTGGGCAAAATTGCGGCAGGTATAACCTATTGAGAACAACAACAACAAAAACAAAAAATCAAAATGAAACCCTTTGAAAAACTCAAGAGAAAAATTTCTGGGTTTACAGATAGCTAGACGGTAGATCAAAGGTACACAGATAGAAAGTACAATGTAGACAGAAGGTACATCAAATCTAATTTTATATTAAGTTTTCTCAGAGCTGTATCCACTGGCAAATCTGATGACTTGGCAGCTGAAATGAATATGTTAATCTTTTGTTATCGATCAGTTTGGTCCCGAACCTATAATCTCACAACAGCAAAAAAATCTCTCACAACTATGCCCAAGTCATGTGTTCATCTATTGATGAGATGTGAAAGATTATCTCAAACAGCAATATGGCTACAATTAAACAAAACATTTTATTCCTCAAAATTTGTTTTACTGTAAATAGTTTATTATTTTCAAATACCCAAATATTCAAAGTAGCATAAATCCTCAAATAAGATATTAAAATTGAAATGATGTGAAAATAACATCAATTTTTACAAAACACTAACAACAATTTTTTCAGTACTTCATTCTGTTCTCTGTACTTATATAATTTTGTATAAATATGGTTGTGGTCAATGTGACTTCTTTTGACTTTGTTTTACATCACTCCCCATATATCCTTCTATTCTTCTCGCCTGCTGTTTTAATAATAGTATAACATTCCATGATGTTAACATATCATCATCACTGAACTATTTTTCCAATTAATGGAATACATAGTTTCTAGTTTTTTTGCTATTATGAATATAGCAGCTATGAATATTTTTGTAAACATGGGTCCTTTCTATCTTTTTAAAAATATTTTTCCCCCAATTACACGTAAAAACAATTTTCAACATTCTTTTAAAAAAATTTTGAGTTCTATAGAGAACTAAGTCAAATTTATAAGAATACAAGTCATTCCCCAATTGATAAATGGTCAAAGGATATGAGCAGGCAGTTTTCAGATGAAGAAATACAGTCATATGAAAAAATGCTCTAAATCACTACTGATTAGAGAAATGCTAATCAAAACAACTCTGAGATACCACATCACACCTATCAGGTTGGCTAACATGACCAAACAGGAAAATGATAAATGTTGGAGAAGATGCAGGAAAACTGGAACATTAATATATTGTTGGTGGAGTTGTGAATTGATGCAACTATTTTGGACAACAATTTGGAACTATGCCCATAGGGCTATAAAAATGTGCATACCCTTTGACCCAGCAATAACACTTCTAAGGCTGTATCCCAAAGAGATCACAAGAATGGGAAAAGGACCCACATGTACAAAAAATATTCATGGCAGCTCTTTTTGTGGTGGCAAAGAATTGGAAATTGAGGGGATGTCCATCAATTGGGGAATGGCTGAACAGGTTGTGGTATATGAATATAATGGAATACTATTGTGCTATAAGAAATGATGAGCAGGCAGACTTCAGAAAAACCTGGAAAGACTTGTATGGACTGATGCCGAGTGAAGTGAACAGAACGAGGAGAATATTGTACACAGTAACAGCAACATTGTGCAATGACTAACTTTGATAGACTTAGCTCTTCTCAGCAATGCAATCTAAGACATCTCCAAAAGGCTCATGATGGAAAATGCTATCCACATTTAGAGAAAACTATGGCGTTTGAATGCAGACTGAAGCACACTAGTTGCTCTTTTTTTCCCTTCTGTTTTGTTTCTTCTTTCTTGTGGTTCCTCCTATTGGTTCTAATTCTTCTTTACAACATGACTAATGTGAAAATATATTTCACAGGATATATATGTAGAGCCTATATCAGACTGCATGCCGTCTTGGGGAGAAAAGAAGGGAGAGAGGGGGAGAAAAATTTAAAACTCAAAAGTTTATGGAGTGAATGTTGAAAACAAAATAAATATTGAAAAATTTTTTTTAAATTTGAGCTCCAAATTCTCCACCTCCCTCTCCTCCTCTGGCAAGCAATCTGATATTGGTTGTACATGTGCAATAATGTAAAGCATTTCCATATTAGTAAGTGTGTGGAAGAAAACTTGAACAAAAAAAAAAGTGAAAAACAGTATGCTTTGGTCTGCATTCAGACTCCATCAGTTCTTTCTCTGGCAGTAGAAAGCATTTTTCATCATGAATCCTTTGGAATTTTCTTGGATCACTGCATTGCTGAGAACAGTGAAGTCATTCACAATCCTTCATCATACAATGTTGTTGTGCCTGTGTATAATGTTCTCTTGGTTCTGCTCACTTCACTCTGCATCAGTTCATGTAAGTCCTTCCAGGTTTTTCTGAAAGCATCCTACTCATAATTTCTTATAGCACAGTAGTATTCCATTACAATCATACACCACAACTTGTTCAGCCATTTCCCAACTGTTGGGCCTCCCTTCAATTTCTAATTCTTTGCTACCACAAAAAGAACTGCTACAAATACTTATGTGCAAATAGGTCCTTCTCCCCCTCCCTTTTTTGGATCTCTTTGTGATACAGACCTAGTAGCGGGATTGCTGGATCAAAGTGTATGCAGTTTTACAGCCCTTTGGGCATAGCTGGAAATTGCTCTCCTGAATGGTTGGATCAGTTCGTAACTCCAACAGTGCACTGATGTCCGTCCCAATCTTCCCACATTCCCTCCAACATTTGTCATCTTCCTTTTCTGTCATATTAGCCAATCTGCTAGGTATGAGGGTAGTGCCTTAGAGTTATTTTAATTTGTATTTCTCTAATCAGTGACGTAGAGCATTTTTTTTCACATGACTATGGATAGCTTTGATTTCTTCATCTGAAAACTGCCTGTTCATTGGAGAATGATTTGTATTTTTATAATCTGACTCAGTTCTCTTTATGAGAGATACTCGGTATAAAATTTTCCCCCAGCTTTCTGTTTTCCTTCTGATTTTGGTTGCATTAGTTTTGTTTGTGCAGAACCTTTTTAATACAATCAAAATTATCCATTTTGCATTTTGTAATGCTCTCTATCTCGTTTGGTCCTCATTTCTTCCCTTATCTATAGATCTGACAGGTAAACTATTCCATGCCCCCTAATTTGCTTACGGTATCACAAAAAGAGCTGCTATAAATATTTTTGTACATGTGGGTCCTTTTCCCTCTTCTTATGATCTTTTTGGGATATAGCACTAGAAGCACTATTGCTGGATCAAATGTTCTGCAGTTTTATAGCCCCATGGGCATAATTCCAAATTGCTCTCCAGAATGGTTGGATCAATTCACAACTCCACCAGCAATACGTTAGTTTTCCAATTTTCCCACATCTTTTCTAACATTATCCAAATGGTGAGTTCTTTTCCCAAAAGGTTGGATCTTTGGGTTTATCAAACACTAAATTACTATGGTCATTTACTACTATGCATGTATACAGATTATGTAATAACATAATCTGTTCCACTGATCCACCACTCTATTTCTTAGTGTGATTGTTTTTCATTACCACTTTATAATACAGTTTGAGATCTGGTACAGTTAGGCCACCTTCCTTCACATTTTCCCCCCAATGATTTCCTTGATATTCTTCATCTTTTGTTCTTACAGATGAATTGTTATTTTTTCTAGTGCTATAAAAAACTTTTTTGGTAGTTTGACTGGGATGACATTGAATAAGTATAATAATTTAGGTAGAATTGGCATTTTTATTATTATTGGCTCAATCTACCCATGAGCAATAAATATTTTTCCAATTGTTTACATCCGACTATTTGTGTGAAATGTGTTGTAATTGTGTTCATATAGTTCCTCAGTTTATCTTGGCAGGTAGACTTCTAAGTATTTTATGTTGTCTACCCTTCCTGTCTTTAAATATTATCTTTAGGGAATATTCTCAGACCTAGGGTTGTTGGATTAAGGAGAATAATCATTTCTGTGACTTTCAATAAATGCTAGTCTGTTCTCCAAAAGCACATACCAATCTATAATTCTACCAACAATGTAAGAGCATGCCTGTTTCCCTGAAGCCAAGACATTTAATTTTTTAAAATAAAATTTGGCTCATTTTTCACTTTTTACATCACCAGAATTTCTTTCAGCATCTCTTCCCCCTTTCCCTACCAGGAAACCAGCTCATATAATAAGCAACATTTTTAAAGAAGAAATAAGAAAAGGGGGAAAAGATAAAAAAATCCAAACCAATTAATACAATGAAAAAGTATGAAAACATATGTAATTCACCACATCTGGGTACCTTATCCCTTTGCAAAGAAATGGAATGAGGTATCTTCTCATATCTCTTCTCTGGAGTCACACTTGCTCTTTACAATTTTGCAAAATTCACTTTTGATAGATTTGTGATTGTCTTTTCCACTTATTTCACTGTAATCATTCTGATATTGTCTTCTTGGCTCTACTTACATCACACTGCATCAGATTATGAAAATTTTTCCATGCTTCTCTACATTCATCATATTCTTCGTTTCTTATAGAATGGTAATATTCTACTATGTACACATACCACAATTTGTTCAGCCCTCTCTAACTGATGGGAACTTACTGTTTCCAATTCTTTGCTACCATAAAAAAGTGCTGCTCTATTTTGGTGTTTATGGAGTCTTCTTATTGGAGACCTCATTAGGGTAGAAAGCCTAATAGCTTAATCTCTGAGTCAAAGGATATGGACATTTTAGTAATTTTATATAATTCCAAATTGTCTTTCAAAATGGTTATATTGATTCACTGCTTCACTAACAATGTACCAGTGTGCCCACAACCCTTTTAACATTGACTATTTTAAACTTTTATTATCTTTGTCAATTTTCAGGGTGCCAAGTACAATTTCTGTGTTGTTTAGATTTAAATTTCTCTTATCAGTGATTTTGAACATTTTTCACACAACTCTTAACAGTTTATAGTTCTTTTGGGAACTGTTTGTTCACATCCTTGGACCACTTCTCTATCAGGGAAGGCCTTTCGGTTTTACATGTATCTGCTAGTATCCTTGATGCTACACTCTCATCTGATAATTACGATGTAAAATTTTTTTCCTATTGGACTGATTCCTGTCTCATGCTAGCCAC